TCTCTGTAACATTTTAGGAGATTGGAATGTAGACACCAGATCTTTCTATCCATTATGGCTGCGGTGGTTACCCCACAGCGTTTGAAGACTAAGACGCAGATATCGACAAGTTAGCAGCAATTGCTGACAAAATGTATGAATGGATGTCTCCAAAAGCCACAACTGTACTAGACAAATCATATGACGAACTTATAGAAGCACTAGAACGTAAAATAGACGTTTTGACCGGGCAATTGATGACAGACAACCTATTACATCATACAGAAGACAGCGTAATCGCTCATGCAATGTACGTAAATATAGCTTACAACAGACTTTATGCTAATATCATCGAAAATAAGGCATACAGGCTAAACGGTGCACACAACTATGTGCTTTCCAGCAACCTATGGCTTTGGGAAACAAAAAGGCCTGTGGTCGGTAACGACTGAAATCACTGGCCAACACCTGTCCCACAGTTGTCTCTTCAGGATAACAGATAAAATAACAGGAGCACAATTCCAGGTAGATACCGGCGCAAAGGTTAGCGTAGATCCCCGAACACCCAACGAATGCTTACAGCCAAATTCTTCATTAGTACTTAAGGCTGAGAACAACTTTACTACAAAAGCCTTTGGAAGTAGAAGATAAAAACTTGATTTTGGTTGCAGTATACCATTTGAGTGGGAGTTCGTCATTGCAGATATCAACTTTCCTAGTACTGGGACGGATTTTCTTCAGCACTACGAATTGCTAGTTGACTCTAGTCGCCATGGATTCATAAATATCAATCGCAAACTGTCGATTTCAGGCATCTCCACTGATGTCGAGAATATCCGCATGATTGCAGTCTCATTAGATCACTTTCCAACCTACGACATTTCGCTAAAGAAATCTCCTGAACTCCACAGCCTCGTCCAAACACAATGTAACACACCATATTATCACTAAAGGTCTGTCTGTCTCAGCAAAACCACGTCATTTATATTCAGACAAAACACAAACAGCGAAATAAGAGTTCAAAAGATTGTTGGATCTAAGAATAATACGATCATCCAACAGTTCATGGTCATCATCACTTCATATGGTACCAAAGAAGAACTCAACACAGACATAACCATGCGGAGAATACCGAGCTTTAAATAAGCAGAAGACAGCAGATAGTTACCCGATTCCGCATATTCACTTTTTTTTCATAGCATGGCAGGTGCTCAGATAATCTTCAAAAGTGACCTCGTTTGTGCATACTACCACATGTCTATCAAGCCCAAGAACATCCCTAAAACTGTGGTAACGATTCCTCTTGGGTTATTCGAGTTCGTCCGTCTGTCATTTCGTTTAACTAACGCAGTGCAAACTGTTCACAGACTCATGGACTAGGTCTTGCACGGCCTCACATTCATTTACACATATATCGATGATATACTGGTTGCAAGTAAATCACCTGAAGAGTACCGATGTCACTTAGAAACACTCTATAACCGTTCGGTGAATATGGGATTGTCATTAAGCCAAGTAAGTGTAGATTTGGTGAGAAAGCTGTAAAACTTAATAAGACACCTGGTAGACAATCAAGATATCCGACCGATATCAGAACAGCTTCAAATCATGAAAGAATACCCCATCCCAGATTCTTTCAAAAAGTTACGTTGATTCCTTGGTCCCGTCAATTTTTATCGCCGTTTCATTCCCAACTGTGCACAGCTAGCCCAATCTATGATGGATTTACTAAAAGGTCACGCAAAGTCGCTGCACATGAATACTTCAACAGTCGAAGCACTTGAAAAGCTAAAACAGCCTCTGAGCTCAGAAACTTTACTGGTACGTCGTGACGTCAACGCACCTATAGCTGTTATGGTAGATGTATCAGAGGTAGCCATCGGTGCAGTTCTTCACCATTTTTCTGCGGGGAAATGGCAACCTCTCTCCTTTTTCTCCAAACGTCTAGACACTACTCAATCAAGATACACTACATTCAGTCGATAATTACAAGCATTCTGTCTTGCTGCTAAACATTTTCGTTATATGGACGAAGGAATACCGTTTATCATCTACACAGAACATAAACCTTTAACTAAAGTCATGCATGCAAAGCACGATAAGTACTCACCAAGAGAGATCCGACACCTCGAGTTCATTTTTCAGTTCACTTCAGATATTAGGTTCGTCAAAGAACATAAAAACGAGGTAGCAGATGCGTTATCCCGCATCCATATAAATACTTTAGAAAAACAAAATCAGCTTGATCTTAAAAAGATCACTAGACTGTAGACTATGAACGAGAATCTGAAAAGAGTAAAAGAGTAGCACTAATAATTCCTTCCATGTGCAAGATGTTACGCTTGAGTACAGCCTAACTAATACAAGTGATTTTTTCAAAGGCAAACCGCGTCTTTTAGTCCCATCAAAAATGCGAAGATCAGTTTTCTCCAGATTACATGGCATTTCTCACCCTGGTATCCGAGCCTCAAATAAACTGATAAGTGACCGATACATATATACCCGAATATGAATAGTGAAGTTAAACGGTTGACCAGATCATGTTTAGCCTGCCAAAAGTCAAAAGCACAACGACATACAGTTTCACCTAATGGCCAGTTTTCAGAACCTGATGGTAGGTTACAACACATACACATTGATATCATTTGACCGTTAACACCATCTAATGGCTTCACTTTCATCTTAACGTGTATTGACAAATTTACGAGATGGCCAGTAACTAGTCCCTTACCTGATATTGCTGCCGAAACTGCTGCAAAGAGCATTATACAAAATTGGATTTCCAACTTTGGAGTGCCCAGTGTTATTACTACAGATAGTGGTGCCCAATTCGAAAGCCATTTATTCCAACAACTTACAGAACTTTTGTGAATCAAGCGTATACGTACTACTGCTTAGCATCTCAGTTCAAATGGCTTAGTGGAGAGATTTCATCGTCAACTGTAAGCGTCACCGATGGCAGCAAAGGATGATGATAAACGGAGCGATAAATTACCTCTTGCACTTCTTGGAGTACGTTCAACAATAAAACAAGGTATCGAATGTTGTCCAGTATAATTAGTTTATAGAACTACCTTACGATTCCCTACAGAATATTTCGACCCAGCCACTGAAGTTCCTACTGAGGAAACTACTTTTGCACAACAACTGAGACAACATATGAGCCTTTTAAGATATCATCCCCTGCAACATCAGCTCAGTCAAGTATACATGCCTCAAAAACTAGACTATTGCACTCATGTTTTCATACGACACAACGGTGTGGAGAAACCACTTCAACCACCATTTAAAGTAATAAACAGAACAAGCAAAATTATCACTGTCGAACGCGGAGGAAAGCACGAGAATGTAAGCTGCGATCGCGTAAGACCAGTTTTCATAGAAACAGAGGTGACTGAATGTTTACCCAAGTCATCATCATCATCACCTAAAGTTAAGCCACAAAATAATTCCTGCTCTGAATATTCAAGATCTGATGATATTCTGGCTAACGAAACAGAAAGAACCACAAGATCAGGTAGGTGATTATATTGGACACAAAGATTTGTACAATTTATTTCTAAGTCATTTCGATACTTCCTTATTACTGTTCTATCAACTGTATGTTAAGATATAAATCTATTCTGTAACTCTTTATAATGACAATCTCATTACTATTCTAATAATTTTTCTGGTGTTATTGTTACATTTCGCACGACTTTCCAAATATTTTGGTTTGTTTCAAAGTTGTTAGCATTTTCGAAAATGTAAAGTTATATTAGCAAACCTCAGAAAACTTAAAAGCCTCAATTCGGTTTTCATACAAGAAACTCTTATATATTTTTTCTGTCCTTTTAAATTACACTAACATTCAGAATACAGGTAAACTCCATTTACCTGCATTCTACGAAGGGGCTGTTATAGTAACCCATTTTATTATTCATCGTCGTAGAATACTTTCACTATGTGATTGGAATTTGATTTGTTTATCACTCTGAAGATTGCGTGTTATCAGTTGATACATTGTACTCGCTCAACTTTTGATTTTTGATGACTGTGAGAATACACGTTCGTACCCCTTATCAAGTTCTTTTTGATTCACTTTGTGGATGTCGAGTAATCACAACTTTAAGACAAAATAATAAACGCGAAGAAATACTAGGATATACGTGTTCGCTAGTTCGGTCAAATAGAGCAGCACAACAAGTTCGCCTCCAATCAAGTGAAACAGACATCTGATGTTTAGATCACTTCAGCGTGGTTAGCAGACACAACTGCTCGATGCAAGCAGTTTCTGAAAACTTATGTTATCTAGCTGTACAAACCGTCGTGCCGATTTGCTAGTCTTCTTAATTGTGATTTACAACATAGAGTTGACCACATGTGATGGTGATCTAAATAATATCTTGTTTACAAAGGAAGCTGTGGGGAAATTTTATTTCATCCTCTCCCACCAACAACTCCGAAGTCCCAATTGGCGTTAATTTTTTGGATTGTAGTTGCTAGACTCAAGCACAAAGTTCCTTCTTTCTCAAGGCTATTAACGGATGGTATATTAGGTGTCATGTTGCAATCCTGATTTCTCGCCCCCATCAAAAGAAGGATCACTGGCTGACTGGCTTCCTGAAGACTTTCACTAATGCACGCCATTCCGTTTCCTTCGATTCCAGACAAGAATAAGTATGTTTTTATATTTCTGTTGTGCATCGAATTTTCCCTAGAGAATAGATTAATTTTCCGTGGTAGATTCGCTAGCCCGGCAGCCAACCTGCCTATTTCCCACCCTCAGAACCGGCTAGTAGTATAAGACTATTTGAAGAAAATTCCTAAAGATATAAAAAGAAAATATCAAATGGAGTGTCTCTGTTTTGTAAAACTGAATTGTGATACTTTACCAACGAATTAAATGCTAAGTAGAAAAACGTATTATTCAGGACTACTCACTGACCCCTCCCTCCACTTCTAAATCCATCTCCTTAAGTTTTATTCACTGTAATATACCTATTCAGATAATAGTAATAATAATGACAAAAGTGAGCAGGATAACACCTACGCAATGTGTTGATCGTCCTTATGAATGGACAAATCAGAATAAAGTTTCCTATTCATTTTCACATAACCTATAGAGAAGGTGGAAATACCCAATCTACACACACATATATTTGTATATAAACGGAGGGATACATAAATGTTGGCTGTTTATTTAAAACAACTCACTGACCAACTCACCATCCAACTGACCAATATTTATCATATTCAACTGATCCGTAAGTAGAATTCTTAAATATTTCTAAGTTTTCTTAATGAAATGATTCAATTATTTTCACGGTAATATTTGTTGAATATAAAGTAAATAATTCTCTATTATGTAATTATATGTGTAATAGGAAAAAATCTTGAAGTTATACAAATGATATTACTCTTGAAACAAGGTTAGAAAGGGGCTCTTTAAGATTCCCTCTTAGTTGTGTTCTATCCATATTTTTGTTGCGTCTCACAATTTGGTTTCTTTAAGAGCTTTGGATATTGAGTAGTATGAAGTAAAAGCCGGGATTGTTATTATTTCTATTGTTATTATTATTATTATTGTGACTCACTAGGAAGAAAGCAAACGTCTCTGTTGTAAATCGTTCAGCGCACTGATAACCAGAGCACTTATATTCACTGTTGATACACAGTTGTGTAAATTCTAGTCTGATGTTTGTAATTGCTTTTAAGACATTCAGTATCATAAATATTGAGTAAGTGTTAATATCGGATTTATTTCAATGTACAAAGTGTTTATTTGGGTCTTCTTCTTGGTGAGGGGTCTAAACTATGACTGGTAGAATACTCACCTCGCTGAGACACATTTAGAATGCAACTGATGTTAGTTAGTGACTTAGATTCATTGAAGATTTAATATACTTATGAGTTAGATAACACGAATCTTTGTCTATCTATCGCTAGGCTCTTGTTATGACACATAAAACTTATACTAAACACGGCTTGCTTATTATTTTTCTACACTACAATTAATAGAACAATTATTGTATTATTATTATTATTCCAACTGGAACATCCCCAAGTTGTTCTGTTTTCCACTGTCCTCTTCAGCTGGGTACCCGATTGCCTTTAATCTCTCATTTCCCCTCCCCATACTATCTCATTCATTTCTCCTTCGCACCGACGACCCATTCGTCCCTTCCTATCTGAATTCCACACGACAGCCCAAAGCGCGATGTAATTAGACGACATTCGCAAGGTATCCTTGATCCATCTCTAACATATTTGTTGAGCGATAGGCCCTTGGCTGGTTTCTTCCACTGCAGAGTTTCTCGTTGCTAATTCTTTCTGGTTGGCCGACCATTTGGTCTCCAGTGTGGAGCGAAGGCAGTTATTGATAAAAGTCTGCAACGTGAACAAGAGTTGTCATCTGATACATTTTGTTCTAAACTCACAGTATTTTTTTTCCTTCACATTCCCAGTGAAACATTGGGCTTCAAGATAGTGGTTTGAAGTTTTTGTAGTAGTGTTTAATTTTACAGGATGAGGTTGCTAGCCTCATGCCCAACCTTTCCTCTTTACCTGCATTATTTCTGGTTTAGCGAGGTAAAGCAGTGCGTCGGCCGGGGATCGAACTCCCGGACCATGTGCATGGTCGGCGAGCATCCTGACCGCTATGCCACCGACGCACAGACTCACAGTATAGCTGACTATATATAAGCCATACGTTCACATTCACTAGACTGGCATTCATCATTATTTTGATGTCTGGTTTGCTGTCTGAACCATCGACAACGTTGGTTGCTAATGCTTCACCTGACATAAAATATCTTATGCAAAAATACATTTTCCCACTGAAAAATACAAAAGTGCTATAACGTCACAAAAGAACTCTCGTTCTATGCCCCGAGTGTATCAAATAAATGTGGTGCAAATAATCAACATTTCTGAACATGACCCGCTACACAAACTGGAGTTAAATTAGTAGTGGTATACTTCACCCGTTAGAAACATTCAGCTGTCCCTTTAAAATAAAAACAAAATAACTTCACTTAAACTTCTGTGAATATAAAGGAACTTCTGGGATCATTATGAAAATAAACTTCATAGGTTAGTGCTTTGCTCACTGTCCATTTTAAGAATCCGTTACTTGTTTATTCAAAGTGTCTTTCATTAATCTTATGTAGGTATACATGTATATGGTTTTTGGAATGTGCTCTTGTTTACTCAAGTCGATGTGAAATGTTCTTCTGTCTAGGTGGTTTTGAAATCGTATTCCCTACCAATAACTAAGCCCATTGTGATTGACTCACCCTTTACACCTACTAATAATTAAACCACATCGTAATATTTTATGCAAATAAGATGATAACAAACCTAATTTGGAAACCAAATAGCAAAGCGGGATAATTATCAAATACTCTCCATCTTTATCCTAACTTTCGAAATTTTATAGGTTGCCAAAGTTACTTCGATTAAAGGCGAATAGCCGGCTAGAAACAACAGTCAAGAAGGAACATCCACTTAGAATGTCATAAGTAACTCTTCAGAGTTCATTAAAGAGCGTTATCTTATAATTTTTATTCGGCTCACTAGTGACTGCCTACAGGAAAATGTTGACTGGAATTCTAGTGAGAAATCGTGACCAGTAGCATTTATCCAGCCACCGAACAACAATGCCTGGTAGTAGCTTTTAAAATCACCAATCGGTAGAATTTATAGTTAATGGTCTGACCACTGAGGAGTCGGTCGCAGTGACTCAATGGCCGACAAGCTAGCCTTACAACTGGAGGGACGTGAGTTCGAAACTCAGTGGGTGCGTACTTATGACGACTCCCAAACCAGGTCGGAAGAAAAGGCTGTATAATAATCTCAGCTGGTTTTCAATGCCCCTCTTATTGGCATCAATCCGTGGGCAAACATAAAACCAATCAAATCTCCACAAAATTACTGCCTGAAAACAACAAATATAATTACTCTTTTAATACATTCTACCGGATTTCACTCAAATTTATGTAGTTTGATGAAGAAAAATAAAAGTTTCCTAAGGATATTTGATTGATATCAGATGCAGTTAATTAAGGTAAAAAATAAATAATGAGATTATCATTATTGATTCCTAACGACTCTGATACGTTTCCATATGACTTATTGTATGACCTAGTTTAAACACTAAAACATCTGCTTCAATCTGCTAAAGATTCAATGATACTCAAATTAAGACAGCGTAATGAAATATGAAATGATGGCTCCGATGAAGTTGAGCCTATTTGAAGAATATATACCTTGAATATGTCAGAAATATTGTATATTGTATTGCATTGAATTGTGTGTCTAATAATCTTTTCTGCTTGAATTGGATGTGCCATTCACTAGGTTATTGATAACGCTGCTTGCTACAGTAAACTATGCAATCCAATTAGTCTATTGATAAATCTGTCTCAGTCACCTAGAATCGAAGAGATTCGCAGATTTCTTTGAAAAATAACAGGAGTTATGCATAAGCAGTAATACGTTATCCAAAGGAGACATCTGTGTGAAACTATTATGTAAGACTTGTAAATGACTTTTGTTTGGTTACAGGATTTTCATCATGAACTGACATTAGTTAGAGAACCATTGGAAAACCTGGGAGTACTGGACAGTTGTTTCGTCCTAGCTTGGGACTCTTCAGCAGTACGCACCCACCAGGATTCTAACCCAGGACCTTCTGGTTACAAAGCGAGCTCGTATACCATTAAGCCACTGGGACCCGATCATTACAAACCAACACTTGAATATCAATTAGATGCTCACTAGTGACTAGCTGTATTCAGGTAGGTAGTTACAGCAGGTTCAGCAGGTCAGGTGTGAGGACAAATACTCGCCGAAGACATTGGCTATGGGTTGGGCCTTGTTGTGAATTGGCAGAAATTGGAATTCGTGGGCTATTGGATTGGGTCCCAGTGGCTTAATAGTATACGAGCTTGCCTTGTAACCAGAAGGTCCTGGGTTAGAATCCTGGTGGGTGCGTACTGCTGAAGAGTCCCAAACTAGGACGGAACAGCTGTCCAGTACTCTCAGGTTTTCCAGTGGTTCTCTAACTAATGTCAGCTCATGATGAAAGTCCTGTAACTAATCAAATCCCTACAAACCAACACTTGAATATTTTTGTTTGAATCCTATACGTTCCAAGTAGAACTATAGGACTTCATGCTTCAGCTCCTAAGTTTCAGTTTCAGTGGTGTTATTCTTCTTCACAAGGAGGAGTTTCTAGCTTCAGGTCTAACCTCCCCTCTTTACCATCCTTAGTACCAGCTTAGCGGGATTTCAAGAGTGTTTCAGCATGGGGGTCGGACCGCAGACCATGTGTGGAGTGGTTGGTGAGCGTTTTAACACTGAATCAAAGACACAAAGGACGTAATACTGTATGTATGACACTGTAACCCTCAGTTTTATTCAGAAAGGTGGTGAAGTTTTCCATCTTGAATAATACTACAATAAACTGTACTGATCTAACTTTCTTCTGATCATAATAACGATGACAATAATAATAACAATAATGTGTAGTAATATAATATTACATTTTTAGCGATAGAGTGCATATGGTTTAAATCAACTTTTTAAATAATAAACCTTGTTACGGTATTCTTGAATTAACTTGAATAGATATATATATGTAGGTATTTTAAATAGTAGTCGGTTGATTTTTTCTCCTTCACGTTCCGCAGTGGAACATAGGGCTCCAAGCCAGAGGCTTGAAGTTTCTGTAGCAGTGCTTATTTTTACAGAATGAGGTTGTTAGCCTAACGCCCAACCTTTCCTCTTTACCAGCATTATTTCTGGTTTAGCGAGGTAAAGCAGTGCGTCGGCCGGGGATCGAACTCCTGGGCCATGTGCATGGTCGGCGAGCGTCCTAACCGCTATGCCACCTACACACATAGTCGGTTGATAGGTTTTCATTTTTTGCGAACTGCTGTTCTGAAAATCATTATGTCTTCGTGCAAAATGAAATATGCTTGCTGGCTTTTTTTACAGCTATGAAGTGCGGTAAGTGAACAGCTTATAGAGCATTGGAGACTATTTTCAACAACTTCAACTTTAAGAGATTCAATAATTAACAAAAAATATTTTTTCCCGACAATTTCTTCATCAGCTTCTACACTTATATGAAAGTGATAACTGAAGACGTATTCTTATTTAAAAAAACATTAATGCTGTTTTAAATTACATTAATGCAGTATTATCGGACGATCACATTTCTAAAACATCGGTAAGGGAGAAAATATGCAATAATATAACA